TAATGGGTTCTCTAAGATTTAGCTGCCTTAATTTGAAACATTATTTCCCAACAAGCAGAAGCATAGTATCTTACTCTTGGATGCTGCCCTTCATAGTCAAATATATCAATCTAAGCCCTTTATGATAAAGTCAGTATACAAATTCTTCTAATATAACTGCTGCAGGGCATTGTTCTCCAAAACCAGATCGAGGCAGACATCTGGGGAAAGTAGTGCCTCTAGCTGGTGTGGTTACCACCGAGAGAACACATCTGTGAAGGCAAAGTTAGTTTGACAGCACAGTTACAGGGGCCCCAACCATGCCCATAGTACTTCTTGGTTTGGGGCAAAGACCAAAAAGCATAAATTATGATTTGTGTCAAAAGTCAGAGTCTTGGAGGAGCAGAGATTTGACTCTCACTAGCTGTCTGATAGAAAAACAGAGGCAACAATATTGCCTTTTTTGATCTCCAAACCTAGACTAAATCAGCTATATCATCACATAAACCAGGAGATGACACTTTTTTAAATTTACCCTTCTGACACAGGCCAGGAGGAATAGGGTAAGATATAAGCCTATATGTCTATCCTGTATTTGGGGGAAAAAAGAATATGTACTACGGATCTGGATAGAAAGCCAGTAATAAATATGCATGTGGTTTCACACAGGAACTAATGGCTTTGCTTTTTACAATGCCAATGGAAAAAATAGTTTTTTAATATTGTCTATCTAGATGATTTGTATTTCACACTAGTTCACAAAGGACTCTGGTTAGTATGTGATTTATGGTTGGAACAAAATAATTATCTGAAGCTTAGCTGAAGGTAGGCTTTCAGCACATTAATAATACATTAGCTAATGTTTCTTTTTTGGCATTGCCTATGCAAATTTCTATTATCATAATAAAAATGACTGTTTATTTTAACCTGGAAACAGCTTTAGATGAGAACATGTATTTTATCTGATGTCTTGATTAAATACTAACTGCCAGTTCCCAGATAAACTTTTAACCAGAGTTTTTCCTTTAGTCTCAGCTGGTATTTGGTCAGTAAAGTAAAGGGAGAAACAGCTCGCTTTGCTAAAAACTGAGAGGAGCTCTCTGTGGTCCTCTTTGGCAAGTGTGGTGAAAGTTCATCCTGGCTGGAAACTTCAAACACTGATAGCTGTCACAGGAAAATCATTCATGACTGTGAATCATATAAAGTCAGATTTAAAACATATACTGCCTAAATTTGTTCACTTTGTTGAGCAAGCATAGGTGATGATAATTTCATTCAAATAATTACTTTCTGACAAATGGCAATACATATTGTCTGTCCAAAATAGTATTAGATTTGATTGCACTTAGGTAGATCAGAAATTAACTTCTCTGCTTGAAATAATTTGTGACTTGAATACCTGCTGAATATTTCCCTTTCCAAGCTATGATTTCACACCAAGAGGCATATTAGAAACCATATTTTAGAAAACATATAAGGCATTAGTCATGGCAATGTATTCTTCAGATGGAATCATACTATGTCTTCCCTGCCACTGCCCATTGAGTTTGTCCCTGTTGAGTTTCTGAGAACATTTGACTTACTGAGATTTCTGACCAGAAATAGGATAAAACATTTGGGGTAACTGCTTTGGGGAATCTTCCTTCATAAGTTATGACTTTCTCAGCAAATACAATGTATATACGTCTTACAAGAGTATTTTTGTGGGGAAGTAACAAGACAGTTTGTCTGCATTCCTGTGATTCAGAGTGGCCTTGCTATGTATTTGTGTCTCAAGCTGCCCATGGGACCCCTATGCAAATGAATATTTGATTATTCTGGCTGATGCTATCCAAAGCAGCTGAAAATAAATACCAGACAGATCATTTTATAAGCTCAGGCTGGCTAATTTACACTCTGTAGAATGTAGAATAAAATGCTGTGTATTTTACACATATTTTGCTTATCTCTTGTTGCATTTTTTTCATAATAAAATAAATAATAACAATGCCATTTGTACCTGGATATTAAAGAAAGATAAAAGAACAACAATAAACAATTGGAGAAAAATCTGTTGAAAAATACTAATATATATATAATTATTATAAATCAAACCCATTTTCCATGCATGTTATATGATAAAACTATACTAAAACATTATACTCAAGAATAAATGGCTGATTAGCTTTGGAAATATAGCACCGTCTTCAATTGCATTGGCAGAAAATTTTGCACAGTAGAGTTCTGACAACAAGACATGAATGTTAGGGAGGTGACACAAGTTCTGCTTGTTGCCTCTTACTGCAGAAATTGGAAAACTAAAATTTACCCAGGAGTGTTGTGTGTTCTGAAACTGCTGCTCTCTTTGAATGATATACAGAACAATTTTTTTTAAAAAATAGCATTAGTTCTATCTCCTTTTGAGTCCATATCAAATTTTTCTCAGATCCTACAAACCACTTTTTGTGTAGCTGAGAGGTGGTGAAGAGGGAGCAGGAACTGCATGTGAAAACAGCTCTACAAACTTACAAATCTTTCAGGGTTAATCTGTAAGGGAAATGTCTTTTTGTCAGTTAATTGAATAGGATTATGTACTTTTCTGGTCGGCAATTGAAAGGAAATGTTCCTCTCCTTTTTGATCCTTCAAGAGCTTTCTGTACTTTAAATAATTGCTAGCCTCATTTTGAACAAAACTTTTGTTTAATATGTTGTAAAGTGTCTTGAAAGAATTCTCTTGTAGGTTTATCCCAGTTTTCTCCCTAAAATTACTGAATATTCTGATTTTACATATCAATAAAACAGAAATTAAGGAAGAAATCATATTCTGTCCAAAGTAGGAATTCAAACGCATACTGTCCTTTTGACATTTCACTAGAAATATCAAGGAAACAACAATAAGCTAAGTATTTTTATGTATTCCTTTTTATGATCTTATCTTTTATAAAAAAATTGCATAATTATATAGAAGTTTTTGCTTGAATAAAAATAATACAGACCCTTACTCCAATAAAAATAACGCAGACTCTTGCTCTGAAATTTGTATAATTGGGAACTGAGTTGCTAGAATATAAAAGTGTAGGTAAATATTCATCTGCTTCACCAATTACTATGTGACTAAGGCAAAGAAATTCAGAACAAAGTAAATAATAAGTGTTATTCTATGGAAAGAGAGCAATAAGAGTGTAATTTTCACACTCGTTAGACATGGATACAAAGCTAAAAGCAGCCAATGAAGATGCAAGAGTCTTTAGATCATAATATTAAGATTCTGTTTTGTTATTTTTAAATGGAACACTATACCTGGTTGATGGTGGGGTAGCAAAAATACTTTAGTACCCAGTTGTACCCTTCAGGTACTGGAAGACCTGACACTGGAAGACCAGGTCACCCTGAAGCCTTCTCCAGGCTGAACAATCCCAGCTGTCTCAGCCTTTCCTCGTAGGAGAGATTTTCCATCCCTCTGATCATCTTTGTTGCCCTCCTGTGGACCCAGTCCAACCAGTCCATGTCTTTCTTATACTAAGGGCTCCAGAGCTGGATGCAGTAGTCCAGGTAATTATAGAGAGTAAAGTTAGGCTTCATCCAAGCACTGTAATACTTTTTCTAGATTGTATCTTTCCTATTTGGTACAAGACTTTTCTCCAATATTGTCTATTGATTTTGAAAGTCTGAAATAAATCTGCCAAACTTTCAACTAGAGAATTATGTTTCATTGCCCCAGTCTACAGCACACTCTACACTGCAAATTCCTATTTCATAGAACTTCAGGGCAATGGTGCAGTAGAATGTAGATATCTAGGAAAAGAGCTCATGAAGCTTTCGTTAAGCTTATCATACCAATCAAACTTTTTTCATTGAAAGCATTTATGAAGTAGAATTTTATGTAACAACAGTAATGCACTATCTTGTCAATCCCATATATCTACAGTTTATCGAGCAGCCTAGGTTCATTCTTGTCCATCCCTATTTTACATGTAACTAAAGCAGACACAAACAATTCCCTGTTTGTTTTTGTTCAGTTTGGTTTGTTTTGTGTTTGGTTGTTTGGTTTGGTTTGTTGTGTTGTTTTGGTTTAGTTTTGGGTTTGTTTTTGTTTTGTTTTGTTTTGTTTTTTCCTTCCTAATTTCTCCTAAATTTTATCTGTTTTCCTCAGAAGTCATTCTTTTGCTAGATCGACCTCAGTGAACAGTAGTTAAAAGACATGGTCATCACTGTGGAGGGCACAGAATGCCTATGTGTGACACCTTATTTTTTAACTTCAGGTGGACTTTTTTCCTTTCTTTCTTTTTTTTCCCTCCCCACTTCTGTTAATATGTTTGTTTCATTAAGTTTGTTAAATTAACACAAGAGTTCAGTGTTTGCTGGTGGGCTACTACGCGGCTTCCTGAACGCATGAGGCGGAAAGATGCCCTCCCGGGCCGTGTTTCCAAAGGGATCTGCCGCACGAGCCGGGGATGCCGCGGCCGCGACCATCTGCCAGCCTGGAGAAAAGTAGGTAAACCCACTCGGCCGAGGCCGAGGAGGGCATGTGGCCGCCGCCCGGTGTCATGCCCGGGGTGCGGAGCAATCCTAGCACCAGGAGACCCGCGCCACCCACCCTGGGTCCCCGTCCCCCGGCGGCGGGAGGGTGTGCGCTGGGGGCGGGCTCCGCGGCCGCGGCGCCGGGGGCGGTGTCCCCGCTCCGCCCCGCCCCGCCCACCGCCCCGCCCGCCCCCGGCCGTAGGCGCGGGCAGCCGCGAAGCCACCGCCGGGCGGAGCGGAGCGGAGCGGGGCCGGCGGCCGGGGCGGCGGCGGGGCGGGGGCAGCGAGGGGCCAGCGGGGGAGCGGAGCGGCCGCCACCGCCCCCCGGGGCGGTGCCGGGCGAAGCGGAGCCGGGCGGCCGCGGGAGCGGCGCGGAGCGGGCGGAGCGGAGCGCGGCGGCTGCCGCTGCCTGGATGCCAGAAGCGCCTCTGGAGCCAGTGGCCGGCGGTACCCGGGAGGGCCCGGGGGAGGAGGAGAAGGAGGAGGCGGCGGCGGTGGAGGAGGAGGAGGAGGACTCCGGGCGCGGAGGGGAGGAAGCAGGCAGCGCTGGCCATGGCCTCCAACTTTAACGATATAGTCAAACAGGGCTACGTGAAAATCCGCAGCAGGAAGCTGGGGGTGAGTGAGTTCTCTCTTCGCCGGCCCTGTCCGGGGTGGGGGCGAGGCGCTGGCGGTCGCCTCGCCGGCCTGGGGGGCGGCAGTGCCCCGGGCCGGGGCTGCCAGCGCGGGGCGCGGCGACCTGCTGCTGCTGCCGCCGCTGCTGCCGCTGCTGCTGCTGCTGCTGCCGCCGCTGGGGCTCGGACTTTGCTCCCATCTCCATAGGGGTCGGTGGGGATGCGCTGCCATTGCTCTCGGAGAGAGCCGGCTGCTTCTGTCTCCAGGAAGGCGCCGCTCCTCCCTTCTGTCTCAGCGTTCGCCTGCCAGGGTCACTGTCCGCTAAAAGCTGCGTCCCGTTCCCTCGTCCTCCTCGGGCCGAGGATAACACCCCACTTGGGCGTCCCTGCCTCTCCCGCTTCCCCCCCCAGCGCCGTCCCCCGTCCCTCGCCCTACTGCCTCCGGCAGGGGCTTGGGCGGGGAGAGGAAGGCGCAGGCAGGATCTGTAAAAAACTTTGTGCAGAGATTCTCCTTCCCTCTCTCCCTCCCTCTCCCATTTTGGGAGAGGGATGTCTTCAATCAGGGCAGGGTCTGAAAACACTGGAGGCTGGTACCAGAACAGCCCAACAGTAACTGAGGAAAGCGGGCGTGGAGATGTGGGGGTGCTCGTGCCCCAGGGCATAGACGACTGGGGAATGGGAGCCTGCAGCGGGCCGGGGGCGGGCGGGGAGGGGAGGTGGGTAACAGCCTTATGGACCGAAAGGCAGATGCAGAGTCTGACAGTGATAAAAACTAGGGGCGGTCCCTTAGGTGAGCGTGGCTGGTCTCAGTACACACCGGGGTGCTCAGCGACACAGTGTTATCGAATTGGCCAAGTGCACTTTCCCTGACGGGGTACAGCAAACCTTGAAAAGGCAGTGAAGTTGGAACAGAGTGTGTATAAGGGTCAGGATTTTCTAAACTTCAGTCGGTGCCGGGAATCATCAGTTTGGGCTTTCTCCTTACCCTTTGTGTAAGAACGAGAAGGCTCGCTGGCTTGCACAGCTAGCAATGTTGCCAGTGATCCCAAAAGATCCTGTTGGCTCGAGACTAAACCCGACTAGGGCTGAGAGGAGGTCTGGAGTTCTTTGAGTTCATGCTTCATTTTTTGTTTAGACATGCAGAAAAGTGAAGGGTCTCTACCTGCTCTCCCTTCCAGGGGAGCCTCTCTTCCTGCTTCTCCTGAAACCTAATAGAGCAGGGACCATGTGAAATCTGCCCTCCTCCAAGTCATGATCTTTGAGCTTATCACAGTGCTAATATTTATCTCCTCCTCCTTCTCTCCCCCTTTCCCTTCCCCCAGATGCTGTGCTTTGCTTGCAGACACATTGTGCAGGATGGTAGGACAATAATCAGAAATTGACCTTTGGAGCACTTTGGTACCTTGGCAGGGCTGTTAATTCCAAAAGAGCACAGGAAAGTTTGGTCCAAGCCCTTAATTGCCCCAAGTCCAAATGTATGAGAGATGATGTAAATCCAAAGAGAATGGATGCTCTTATTAATGATTTTGCAACCTCAAAGTCACTCTGTGCATCAGTAAAGCATTAGTCTTATCTGAAAGAGCAATTTCTAAGCCCTAGTTTGTTTCTGGCAGTCCTCTGCTTAACCTTTGCTCATCAGTTTTTCCCCAGCTCAGCAGTGTTACTAGATGGGCCCAACACAAAGCAGAGAGATGATGGTATTGCATTGCCTTGATGTTAGTAGTTGGAATCAGAGTTAATCTGTTTGATTTGCAAATCTGTATAGCAAGGTATCTCAGTGTCCTTTAAGTGTGAAATTATGTATATGCATATGTTTATGTATGCAAATACTTTTATATACCTATGTGTATGGCATATATGCAACAAATGTAGAGTTCATATCACAGTAATCTTGGTCGATACTTGCTGACTTGTGTAAAAAAATTTATGAAGGTGGTATTTCATTGCAATATATCTTAAGTAGCTTGAATATTTTGTTTTGAAGATGCTAATCTGATTTTTTGAGGAGGACACATATAAATGCTTTTTTTTTGTGTGGATATTATTCCTGGTCCTAATGATTATCATACTTCTACACTAAGCAGAAGGGAAATAGTTCATACAGTGTCTACGGAGGATTTTCTCCTACTGAAGTGGTTTATGAGGGTGACAATTCAGACTATACAGCCTCAGGCAGGTGGTAGTATAAGCTTAAATATGACATATGGAAATGCAAATCTGAATAAATCTATTAAATACAATGTAAAATGGATTATATTTTATAGAAAATAGCATCAAAATTCAAATGAGTGTGATGGTTGAAAGGTATGAATATGTGTGGATATATCCATAGCTAATTGGATTCTTGTGACTGAATATCTAAATTAATGCAATTTTTGTTCACCAAGTGAAACATTAAAGGTTTGTATTTTTTCCCTTTATGTCTGTCTCCAAGTCCAAATGTTAATGAATTACACTAGAGCTGTCATAATGTAGGTGAATACATCAATTTTCAGGGATATAAATGTCTGGTGGCGAATGAATATTTTTTATCCTCCAAAAAATATTGAAAGGAGGGAAGAGAGTTATGGGTTCTGAAAAGTAAGACTAAGATAATTTTTAAATATGTCAATAGGATTTTATTTCTTGCTGGTTATGTTACATTCCTATACACTGGAACTTACTGGCATGGGGTTTTTTGGTCATAACAGTCTACATTCTTTGAATATTTCAAAGTCTCCCAAGAAGTAGATTGATTAGAACTTGGAGAGCTGAGGTGACTAATACCGATTTTAGTGCTAGACTTGGGCAATAAAACTAATTCTAACCTTTGGGCTGGTAGCCAATTCATTACAGAAATTCTTCCAATGCAACTTTTATTCTGTCTTGTTCTGTGACTGAGGGAGCCCTGGCTGGGAATCAAATGGAAGATAGTTCAATAGTGTATTTTCATTTTTATTGAAAAAACTCCACAGCAACAAGCTTTGATTTGTGCTGAACTTTCTGATAGAATTTGGTTTTCCAAGAACCTAATTTTCAAAAACTCAAGTAGTAAATCTTCATCTAATTGTAAAATAGAAAGTATTTATGTTTTTTTTTTAAAGAGATATAACATGTTTTCTTCTGATTTTTATGACTGTCTTGCGTTAAGTACTTGTTACCCTGTCTGCCTACTGCCCACATACCTGCAAATTGTGTTCATAGTGTGCGTGAGTATTGTCTCCAGTCATGGAGGATGGACAAACATCCATTCTGAACTGTGCAGTCAGCACTTGGAGCTTTTTTCCATCATACTGTTCAGAAGGCTGATTTGAAGACAAAGATGAAGCCTAAATCTTGATGGAAATACATGGCAAGAAGTACTGTGAGAATTTGCCCTTTTTGTTTACTGATACCTGATCATTAAGATTTTTTTTGCCTGCTTTTCACCTTATCCTTAATTGCTCATTTACTGTTGGATTTACATCTTAATGGATTTCTGTATATTTTCTGGCAGTCCAGTATTTTCAAGTCCACCTCATTGTTCTGATACCTTTAAGTTGTTAAAGTAGCTTCTTTTTTTGTAAGATTGGATAGTCAGCTGTGGAGCTTTACCAGCCTCTCTCTTGTTGTTGGATTCTGACATCTGGGAATATCATGGTTTCTGCCATAGAGATATCAGGCCACGAAGAGATGTCCAGCCAGTTAGACCACGTAGCCTATCTCCTTTTGTTAAGTGTGAACTGTACATGAAACTTTTCTCTGGTGCCTTGAAATTTTAAATATATATTAAAGGCTATGTAATAGACAAGCTCACTTGTATACATGACATCTTCATCGAGGTATCACAGTATCTATGAAACTTAGAAACTGTAGTCAGTGAGGATGACATATAATTAAAACATCTTTATAAAATCTGTTTCCCTGCAGCCTAAATATGCCTTTCTTTTCAGTGTCCTGGCATTCCTGCACTGTTTGATATTTTACTTTTCTCTAATGCTACATAAAGGAAATACCTCATTCTTGCAGCCATTACATTTGACCTGTGCAACCCTCCTTTGAAATAAATTTGATTGTAATGTGGTGTGCTGTTCAGATCAGAATAGGTCATTTGTGTAGCGTGGAACAGGACTGTGCTGCCTTTGTTCTTTTGGAATCTTTCATACTTGTGTCACATTAAAATTCATATGACACAATTTTATACTGCACTGGCTGTGCTTATAGGCTGAAACATTGTTGTAGCAGATTGGAATCCCTTTGTTGCCTCCTAATAAACTAAGCTGCGAGTATTTCATGCCTTGTTGAAGTGCTGTTTCTTAGAAGAAAAACAATTTGATGTTGCATTAGGAAGTCTAATTAAAAATGAGCAGTGTGTCACTTCGATAGTCTTATTTTGACCCATATCAACCTTCGAAGTCATAATCTTATTGTTTGTTTGTTTCTGTCTTTTTTTTTTGTCACGCCTTGGCCACAGAACAAAAGAATCCTGTCTAATGGAAATTTTCACTCAGTTGATGAATAATTACTGATTTTTCTGTGATTCCACACACTAAGTAGAATTATTTTCTGAGTGGTTTAGTTTACACTCTAATACAGCTATCCAAAGAGAAAATTGTATCTGCCACTCAGTCTTGATTGAACAATAAGTAGCAGGTTTCTCTTAGTCACCAAATGAGAAGTTTTACTATATAAACCCCCCTATTTTTAACTATACTTTTAGATCATTGCAGGTACCTTTTGTGGAAATGAACATCATGTTTCTCCTTCTGCTGTTAACCCTGTCTTCAATCAATCAGCACTAACAATACTATGAATACAAGTGTCTGATTGCAACTTGATTCCTCTTGAAAAAATGCAGTATGTGTCTTACAAAATCCTAACATTTAATTGATATCGTGTGGATACTTATGGTGAAGAAAGCAAAGGGACCTGCAAAATGTCCTGGGTTTGAGATTACATTGATTGATTGTACTGACTCTGCAAGTGGGTCATGATGAATACAGAGGGCAAAGTAAAGGTTCTTCCGTTTCTTCGAGTTGCCATAGC